GGTCAGTATTTACCTTAGTCAAGCTTAGTTTATAGTTTTTCTCAAGCTCAATCTCACCCCTAGGAGACGCACTTCCTAGTCTGGGTCTTTCGAGTTATATTTTTGCTTTAGGAGATGCATTTCCTAAATTGAGATTCTACCCTTACGAGACGCATTTACTAGTTTGGGTCATTTAAGTTTGAGTCATTGAAGTTTTACCCCTAGGAGATGCACTTCCTAGTTTGGGTCTTTCAAGTTATGTTTTTGTTTTAGGAGATGCACTTCTTAAATTAAAATTTTACCCCTAGGAGACGCACTTCCGAGTCTGGGTTTTTCAGGATATACTTTTAGGAGACGCACTTCCTAAATTGATATTTCACCCCTAGGAGACGAACTTCCTAGTTTGGGTCATTTAAGTTCAGCCCTAGGAGACGCACTTCCTAGTTTGGTTCATTCAAGTTTCCCTCATAGTAGACGGACTTCCTAGTCTGAGTCTTTCAGGTTATATTTTGTTTTAGGAGACGCATTTCCTAAATTGAGATTTTACCCCTAAGAGAATCACTTACTAGTTTTTGGGTCATTTAAGTTCATTCCTAGGAGACACACTTCCTAGTTTGAGTCATTTAAGTTTCACCCCTAGGAGACGCACTTCCTAGTCTGGGTCTTTCAGGTTATATCTTTGTTTTAGGAGATGCACTTCCTAAATTGAGAATTTACCCCTAGGAGACACACTTCCTAGTTTTTGGTTCATTTAAGTTCATTCCTAGGAGACACACTTCCTTGTTTGAGTCATTGAAGTTTCACCGCTAGGAGACGCACTTCCTAGTCTGGGTCTTTTAGGTTATACTGTTTAGGAGACGCACTTCCTAAATTGAGATTTTACCCCTAGGAGACACACTTCCTAATTTGGGTCATTTAAGTTCATTCCTAGGAGATGCACTTTCTAGTTTGAGTCATTGAAGTTTCATCCCTAGGAGATGCACTTTCTAGTTTGAGTCATTGAAGTTTCATCCCTAGGAGATGCACTTTCTAGTTTGAGTCATTGAAGTTTCGCCCCTAGGAGACGCACTTCCTAGTCTGGGTCTTTCAAGTTATATTTTTGTTTTAGGAGACACACTTCCTAAATTGAGATTTTACCCTTAGGAGACGCACTTCTTAGTTTTGGGTCATTTAAAATTCATTCTTGGGAGACGCTTTTCCTAGTTTGAGTCATTGAAGTTTTACCACACTTCCTAGTCTGGGTCTTTCAGGTTATATTTTTGTTTTAGGAGACACATTTCTTAGTTTTGGGTCATTTAAGTTCATTCCTAGGAGACACACTTCCTAGTTTGAATCATTCAAGTTTTATCCTTAGGAGACACACTTCCTAGTTTGGTTCATTCAAGTTTCATCCTTAGGAGACGCACTTCCTAGTGTGAGTCGTTTGAGTTCATCTCTAGGAGACACACATCCTAGTCGAGTCTTTAATTTTACTCTCATCATTGCATCAATAACATAGGTGATTTACAGTTTTGCTAACAACTCACGAATCTTCCTAGTTCAAACTGGGGCAGAAAATTTTATTTATTTTGTTGTTTTGATTGCAGACACCCACTTGGAGAACGAGGAAGTTCTTTTCAGAGTTACTTCAAATTTCAAGTCAGTAGCAGGCGGCCACCTGAAGAATGAGGGAAGTCATTTTAGAATACGATTCAAGTTAGAAGTAGCAGAGCTCACCTCAAGAATACGAGTCGACAGTTTGAGATGACCAAAAGAAGAAGTCTCAATCCAGAATGAAAGAGAAGAAAAAAAGAGGTGAATCCGAAATTCAGAAGCAGAGAAAGATGTGAACTGCTCAAGACATGGTCGAAGTCACGAGCGCTACATGTCCGATCTTGATCTAAAAAAGTTGAAGAAGAATGAACTAGCAATTGCAGCTAGCAAGCGCCAATGTTCAAATATAAAGTCTGCATGAAGAACCATTCAAGACTCAAGATCAAGCTTCAGAAGACTTATAGATAGGAATCTTGTAACTCATAGCTGACAGACTTAGTTAGTCTTTTCTATTTTTTGATTTTGATGTAATAACAGGACCGCATACCGGAACCTTGACGGAACGACACTTCAATCGGCTCTCCACCTCGGTATACTCCATCACTATTCCTATTTCTGAACTACACGTGGCGTGATTCCTTTATAGCCAAGGATATGCAGGCAGCTCAGACACCAGGTCTCGATCACATTCTCTTTTAGTTTTTGGTCTCTCAAAATAAGGGTCGGGTCAAAAAACCTGTCTCGTCATTCTTTGTCTGAAAACTCTTCGTGTTTTCAGTCGAAAAGGGGCAGCTGTAGACATGTAATTTTTGACCTTCCCCAAGATTTTACACATTTTAGCATTTAAATATTTAGTTTAGGTCTAAATATCGCCATTTTAACTAGTTTTGACTCTTTTAATTTATTTTAAGATCAAAAATTAAAAATTACAAAAATAGTTCCATATTTCTCTATTTAATTCATGTATTAGATATTTTTAGTAGGATTTATTACTTTGAACCTATTTTACTTTAATATTATCTTTGAAAATACCAAAAATAGTTCCAACTTTAATTTTTATTTTTATTTTAAATATAATAGTTTATTAAAATCAATTAAGAGTTATTTTATATCTTCTTATAAGTATTTTTAGAAGTAAATTAAATTTTCAGCCTTTCTTAGCCCAATTTGGTAGATTTAGAGCCCAATTTAACCTAGGCCCATATTTTATCTTACCCTAATACATAAAACACTAGACCCTTTTATCTTCTTCTTCTTCCTTAGACACAAACCCTAGAAACGACCCCCACACCAACAAGACCGATGTTCCCTCTTCTTCTTCTTAACGCTTCAACCCTTGAACACCCCTAAGACCACCAAACAACACTCCTAGCTGAACCCTAATCACATAGACACCTAAAAATCTCCAGTCGTCCCTCCATTTTTAGACGAGCCCGCCTAGAGCTCCAACAGCCATAGACCCCTTTTTCACGTCTGAACCCTCACAGCCGACGGACCAGCTGCACCAAGAACCCCTCCATAGCCGCCGCTGCTTCTGGACCTCTCACCAAACCAGCGAAAACTCCATCTCCCTCACGCCATCTCCTTCTTCTCCACACTAAGCAGCCGCTAGCCCTACTCCAAACGCAACCACCGAACACACTACCACAACTCACTGTCGCCGAGCTCCCTCACTACCACGACCACACACACACATGAACAGTACGCATAAATAGAGCAAATACGATGGTGTTTTGGGTTTCTAATTTCCATCTTTTCTCGACTAATTTCCATTTAGCTTTTGATATAAAAAAATTACGTTACATCTTAGTAATAGTTTCAGAGATTAGAATTTTTGGGGTTTTCATTGAATTTTCAATGTCTTCAACTCCAAATATTATAAATAAAAAAGGAAAAAAAATCAGTGATCTTCTCTCCAATGTCGAATTTCACTGTGATTATGGGATTCGTTTGAGTATCGTATTCGAATTTGGAATCCAGAACTTTTCCAGTCGCCGTTCATGAGTCCCTGGTGCCGATTCAAATTCCGTTTGTGGTTCGTCATATTTCTGAGTTCAAACTAACCTCATAATTAATTTTCTGATTCATTTTGAGGTTCGTTTCTCATTTCCTATACTCTGTTTTGCTTAAATATCAAAACCTCATTGTTTCATTTGTTGACTATTGTTTGTATGTTATTTAGCTTGATCTGTTTGGATGGGTCTTGATTGTTAAAAATGAATTTTGACCTCATGTTTCATTGATTTATTAAAAGGGATTAATTTAGCATATCTAAGTAGATTGGCTGGATTTTTCGCTGCTTTGAATATGGGGAATTTGGACACCTAGAATGGAAAAATTGAATTTATCATGTTAATTGTTTTACTTTACTTGCTCGAGCCGCTAGTAGTATGTTTTAGGCCGACCACACTTGAGTAGGCAAGCTTTAGGATTTTGTTACTTTTGAGGCGAGAGGTCGTTCGCTTAATTAAATTTATCCGGGGAATGCCCCGAAGGATTTGTATATATTTTTATCCGGGGTATGCCCCATAGTATCATGTATTTGGAGGCCATGACAAATTTCGTGGAAAAGCATAGTATATATTATTATTTAGGATTTTACTTTTATTTTCTTTCGTTTAGGTGGGGACGACCTCGAGCCTCTTGTGTGTTTGTTTTCCTTTTCCGTGATTTTACCTCAATTTGAATGTTTTAAAGGTCGACTAGATCAAGTATGCAACTGTACTAGTTACGGGACTTGAGGAGTGTCTAACACTCCTCTCCGAGTCAAATGAACCCTATTACCTAGAACTCTGGTGCAGTGTTTTAAAAAAAAAAGGGTGACCTAGCACACCGACAGCGACTCTGAGTTAGACACTCCTCCCGAGTCAAATGAACCCTATTACCTAGAACTCTGGTGCAGTGTTTTAAAAAAACGGGTGACCTAGCACACCAACAACGACTCTGAGTTAACCCTTTTGAACACAAAAATTTGTCACTTTTCAAAATTGAAATCCCTTTTGAGCTTACAAATCACTTTATATATTTTAAAGAGGGTTAAGTGAAGTGAAAAAAGGGGTGTGACAAACACATACCCTTGTGGATTTAGATGACACAAACCTCTATTCTTTTGAATATTGTGTATTCTACAAATAGACAGATTTGCCTTCCTGTTCTAAATTAATTTATACTTTTGTGTATAGAAAAATTTTAGTTTTATATTTTATCAGATCATAAATCCAATTCTATCATCCCCATTAAATTCTTTAAATAAAAGGAAAAGTATAGTATACAAGTGGCACATAATTATTGCCATGAATCATGCCTTTCATTAATTTAGGTTGTTGCTGACCCTGACATGCAATGTCTTAAACGAAATGGACAGCTTTTATATTCATGGGATACACATATTCTACCTACTTAATTTTGTCAATAGTACTACAAGCCTCACCAGTAGTGTGAAACGTTAGCAACAATCGCGAATCGTGATTTACTTGGCACAATTGTTATGAATTAACTGCACTTGTCATTTCTTCACCAAATTGAGATTACAGAAAGAAAACACAAAAAGAGGAGATTGGGGTGTAGAACATTTGAAGAATCAAAAACAAATACATATCCTAATAAAAACCAGGACTGTTAAATTACTCGACATTAAGTTCAATTTCAATCATGATATTCTGAAACAGAAACCCTAATAATGTCGAAGTGGGTAATTAGTTTTTCAACCAATGTAATACATTGGATCCGGCAATTTGAAAGTGCGGTCTCCAACAAAATCACCAAGCAAATCACTCCACTGGTCTCCTATGTTGCCAACAATTCTATATCCAGCTTTCACCAACTCTGCCCTTTTCCCTGACTTGTACATTACTGAGGATCCTGTATCATTTACTCCCCTGCACCCAATTATTCATATCATATCAATTACTATATCCCTAAAATGCTCAATTTTAGATAGTTAATTGATATTCTTACTTCAAGATGAGCTTCACCCAAGAATGGTAGCCAACTTTTTTTAGGTTAGCAATCCTGACTTGTCTGAATTCTTCTTTTGTTCCAGTGATAAAGACTGGTTTAATACCCATAGCCAACAATGTTCTATACAGAAACAGAGCTCCTGGCACTGCTGGTGCTTTTCCTTCTCTTGTCCACCCGTCAAACTTCGTCCCGTTGAATTTTGTTGCCCTGATAACAATTAAATGTACACTTTATTAGTCAAGCACTTGAGTTTTACGTGGCTACTTCAGTAGAGACGATCCATCTGTTTTCATCACTGAACCTATTGCACATTTGTAATTATGGGTTCAGAATATAGTATTTGTTGAGATTTTAATGCAATATATCTAGGTACAGAAGTTGTATTTCCTAAAAACTTACCCAAAGGCAACATCAGAACGAGCATAATAAGGAAGGTTAGAGAGAGTGGTTTCATCAATATCAAAGACCCAAACATCTTTGCCGTCTTTGGCAATTTTGAGGGTTTTGGCATACTGAATAGCCGCGACGACCACAGCGTTGCAGTCGTCGCGGTACTGCTTCCCAAGCATGTAGTGCCCTACGTAGCTTTCGCATTGAAGGGGCACTAATTTCCAGTTTTGGATGTTGTTGGTTTCAACTGCCAGCCGCCAGCTCAGGCAGTTGATTTGAGGAACGTGGCGGCCGGCGGAACCAGCCGTCGGCCGTAGAGGGTGGATTTGGTTGGGAATAGACTGTGCGTGGGACGCTTTGGCAGTTGCCGCTGCCATGGAAATAAGGAGAAAGAAGAAAATGGCCCTCATGTTTTTGGAATGTTTGTTACTCTAATTAGAAAGTAGGAGGTACTAACATGGCTGTGTGATTGGCCCTTTATATAAAGTTTGAACTGACCTTTCATCTCATCACAAGTTAGTGAATACATTTCTAGCATTTCTTCCGCGTGCTATTTCTCGATAATTTTTACTCTTTTCATTTTTAGTTTCTTAGTATATTTATTGTGACCGGCATTTCAAAAAAATAATAAGGGGTCGAGTTGATATACATATTAGTTCTGTCAGGATTATAATATATAATTTTTTTATATATATGGGATCAATATAAAGAGTTTTATGCGAGAACTAATAATAAAAATAAATATATATGTTTTAGTTACTTATACTTAATCTCCCAATACTAATATACGTATTTTCAATTTATCTTTTATTTCATATAAAATAATAAATAGATTTTTGTATGGGTCAAAATCTGACCACAAGATAGTTGTCATTAAAAGGAACGATAAGGGATCGACCAAGCCATAGTCGTGCCCCCTAGGCATAATAGATCCGAGCAACTCGGCCACTGTCGAGATCGAGCTGTCAGAAAGCCTATACCGCAGAACATGTCGTATTATTTAGGCGAGTAAGGAAGAGTACAGTCATGAGAGGATACACTGGTTAAATATCGTTGGGTAAAATAAAAAAATCGATAATATATATATATATATGAGGGGCTCCCATCCAAGAAAGGAGAGATCAAGAGGTGAAAGATAAGAACAAGAGGAGATCTCCGAGAACGAAGAAATGGCTCAGCTTTTGGTTACCACCCCTCGTAGCAACCATTGTTGAAGCCACAAAGATAGATCTCATAGTTATTAACAATTTTTCCTATTTTTCTTCTTTACTCTTACAAGTACGGAACAATATATCAAAGATATAAGCTTATCATTTACATTTGATATTTGTTAATCATCTTGATAAATGTTACACAAGCTCGGTCTCCTTTGATTTTCATATTTATTATGTTTGGATCTAGAGTTAATTATGTTTGGCTAGGATTTACCCTCCTTTTCTCTATTAATTGGTTAGCTAAAAGGTTTAATAATTTTTTAGTCGAACAATTTGGCGCCGTCTGTGGGGATTTCTTAGCCAAATTTTTTAATTTTTTTTAGATCTTGAACCAGGCAAATATCACTACCAGGCTGTCATGGCCACATCATCTCGGCACAAATACCAACTCTAAAGAATTGTAGGTAAGCCTTAGAGATAACCGTACCAATCTAGGTCAGATCTCTACATAAAATAGAAGTTATAACTGATGTCTATGCAAAACTCACGTCTCACCTGTAACGATGGGTTTGGCGCGCCATATGCATGTTTAAAATAGAATCACGGTCACTATGCGTTTGGCATGACCGTAACCTCATTTGACGTAACCACCTTATATACCGACCCTCCCCTTACCTCCTGGGGAGGGACGATAGTCTACTGTGTGGTCCTTTGAAAGAGCGGGCACATCCTGCCCTATTTACATATCCACACACACTAGTTGATTTGTGAACAAAGTATGACATGTTTCCCTTGTTGTTTGTGCAAATCAGACGAGGTCGGACCGGGACTCGGTTTCGACGTCCCAACAAGCAAAGTAAATCCAACTCACGAGAAGCCTAGATGTGGTTAACGATAGAGCCAAACACGACCGCCAAACCTAAAATCATCATTCAAATACGGGGCAAAACGAGCGACCCCACGGTGCCATTCCTTTTTTTACCACCTTATCAGGCCAAGGTAACAGGCAATTTCGTTTGGATTCCACTTACCACGATCTCTTGTTAGTTTAGAATAGGAACACAAGCGCTCTCACAAATATGCGAACAAGGAACGGGCGCCACCAAAACACCCCATGAAATGGTTCTGTACCATAGCACTTCGCAAGCAGTGACCGAGCAAAGCCCTATAAGCCGTACCAAATTACAAATAACTGAAACGGATCAGCACATGTCAACTATCAGGTAAATCTCCATAACAGGGGGCTCACCCATGAAACGCACAATAATCCCTAGTGAAACGCATAGTAATTTCCAATGAAATGCAAAGAACTCTCCAATGAACGCAAGGTTAAGCACACTGAGACTCACCCGCGAAGCGCCTAGTATTCTTTAGTAGAAGCAAAACCAAGCACACCGGGACTTACCCTGGTGCATGCCTAGACGGTACGACGACGTGTAAAGTTCTCCAAAAAATAATCAAAAACGTTACAATTCGACCTCGCTCGAATTAACACCTTCACGGCCATTGGCCATCATCAAATCAAATAGGTTAAAATTTGATCTCGCTCGAATTAACACCTTCACGACCATTAGCCATCGTCAAATCAAATAGGTTACAATTCGACCTCGCTCGAATTAACACCTTCACGACCATTAGCCATCGTCAAATCAAATAGGTTACAATTCGACCTCGCTCGAATTAACACCTTCACGGCCATTAGCCATCGTCAAATCAAATAGGTTACAATTCGACCTCGCTCGAATTAACACCTTCACGGCCATTGGCCATCGTCAAATCAAATAGGTTACAATTCGACCTCGCTCGAATTAACACCTTCACGGCTATTGGCCATCGTCAAATCAAATAGATTACAATTCGACCTTGCATGAATTAACACCTTTACGACCATTGGCCATCGTCAAATAGGTTACAAATTGACCTTGCTTGGAATAACACCTTTACAGCCACCAGCCACCGTCAAATAAAAGAAAAGTTTGAACTCGTTCAAATATGAGTCAGAAATTAACTTCGCCAATGACGGCGACTCCAAGTTCAAACTCGTTCAACTATAAGTCAGAAATTGACTTCGCCAAAGACGGCGACTCCAAGTTCGATCTCGTTCAAATATAAATCAGAAATTGACTTCGCCCAAGACGACGACTCCAAGTTCGAACTTGTTCAATTATAAGTCAGAAATTTACTTTGCCCAAGATGGCTACTCAAAGTTCGAACTCGTTCAAATAGAAGTCAGAAATTGATTTCACCCAAGACACCGACTCTAAGTTCGAACTCGTTCAAATAGAAGTCAGAAATTGATTTCACCCAAGACACCGACTCTAAGTTCGAACTCGTTCAACTATAAGTCAGAAATTGACTTCGCCTAAGACGATGACTCCAAGTTCGAACTCGTTCAACAATAAGTCAGAAATTGACTTCGCCTAAGACGGCGACTCCAAGTTCGAACTCGTTCAAATATAAGTCAGAAACTGACTTCGCCCAAGACGGCGACTCCAAGTTCGAACTCATTCAACTATAAGTCAGAAATTGACTTTGCCCAAGACGGCGACTCCAAGTTCGAACTCGTTCAGATATAAGTCAGAAACTGACTTCGCCCAAGATAGCGACTCTAAGTTCGACCTCGTTCGGATGTATTAAGTCAGAAATTGACTTCGCCCATGACGTCGACTCCAAGTTTGATCTCGTTTAAACATATTAAGTCTGAAATTGACTTCGCCCAAGACGGCGATTCCAAGTTCGACCCCCGCTCGAATACATATGAGAAAGTCGACTCCGCCTAAGTCGGCAAATCAGAAGTCAACCTCACCCGGACTTGCAGATCCAAAGTAACTTCATTTGTCCTCATGCGACGAGATCCTACTCGATCCGAGTAGGGTCGGATTCCCAATCAAAAAGATCAAGGACTCGTCACACAAAAAAAATTGAAGGTTCATGCCAAAACAAAAAGGCATGTAACAAACGAGGAAAAAACCATTAAAAGATACATAAATAAAGGCGAAGCAACTATTTCATTTAAATATGCGTACGTAACAGCCGTACCTTATAAAAGGCCAAAACAGGCCCTTAGAAACAAAGGAAATAAAAATAAAAAAAACTATGAAAGCTGCAACAACTTTTCATTCGGCGTCATCACCGTTGTTCTCCAAATCATTGTCTTCAGGAAACCCGTCCTCAACATCAGCAGCCTTGCCAACCTCCGGTGTCGCAGGGTCATAGCCACAGGAAACATGAGCCTCGCGCGCCTTTGCTTGAGCATCGTCAAAGGTGGCCTCAGGAACACTCCCCGCTTCCCACAAACCTTTGTAGATATCTCGTTGGGACTCAGCATGGGACCATAGCTCGTACCAGTGGTAGGGAACGACGGCAGAAGCAGATTCAACCTGAGCCAATAGTTGTGCCTTCTCATCCTTGAGAGTCTTGACCCTGTCTCCCAAGTTTGAAGCCTCCCGGTCAATTTTGCTGATGCGCTCCTTAAGTTATGCCTCCCTCAGCGTGGTCATCGCCCTTTCAGATTCCTGCTCAGATTTAAGGACGCAGATAGTGTCCTCTAGCGCTACCGCTCTCGCCAAAGCCGACGTCCTAGCGCTTTTGGTGCTTTCCATCTCGACCACTTTCTTCTATAGCTCAACCAACTTCCCCATCCATTCTGCACTCAAAGCTTTGACTCTGGTGATATGCTCAAGTTCGGCTTGCAACGACATCACCTTCGCCTAAAGATGCTCGCACTCCGCAGCAACCCTCTTTCCCAACTCAAGCTCTTCATCCTTGGCCCAGAACAGCTCCTCAAGCTCACTACATCTGCGGATAGACCGTATCAGGTCCTCATATCTTTTCTCTAACTCCTCCATGGTAGACTGGGTACTGGCACCCGCTCTGAGCTGTTCGTGCATCTTACGACACTTGTTACGGTACCGCTGATACTTCTCGGCCATTTTCAAAAAAATCATGGTCTGCGTCTCGGCCCTACGAGCATTCTCGACCTCCAACATGTAGGTCTAAAAGAAAGGAGGGAGGAAAGAAGTTAGTAATATTATAAAAAAACGAACGAAGGTCACTAAACAATGGAAACAAATAGGAATTCACCCTCAGGCCTAGAGCGTCTACACTGCGTAACAACGCGGAATCGCTAACATCCTGAAGAGCTTCGCTTTAAGCAGTGGAGCATAGAAGGTCGAACTTCAGCACAAAGTCCACCATATCTTGCAGTAAGTTGAGTTCAGACGGGATTTTGAGTATTTGAGAAGGGACTCCCGCTTCCACTACGGTTTGGGTATATCCCTCCTCGAACATCCTCATGTCCTCAGG